TGTGGCATGCACCTGCAGTCCCAGCTACTTGGGAGACTGAGGCAGGAGGGCTGCTTGAGCCAAGGAGTTCAAAGCTGTAGTAAGCCATGATCACACCACTGCACTCCAGCCTGGGACAAGATGCTATCTTAAATAAATAAATATCACCCCTCCACATAACACTGGTACTTTTATTTTCCTTACCATGCTTTTTCTGTCCCTATCTAATTATTATGTAATATACCTACCAAAATGCAAATTCCACAAGTACAAAAGCATTGTTTTATTGAATTCTGTATTCCCAGCTCCTACTAAAACATACCCTGTTTTATAACAAGTGCCCATTATTACTATTATAGGACATTAGGTAACATGATCCATATTATCACCAATGGTCTTGCAAAATGCTAACAAGCTCTATTAGCCACCTAAAAAGCAAAAAACAGGCTGGGTGTGGTGGCTCATGCCTGTAATCCCAGCACTTTGGGAGGCTGAGGCAGACAGTCAGGAGTTCGAGCCCAGCCTGACCAAAATGGTGAAACCTCATCTCTACTAAAAATACAAAAATTAGTAGGGTGTGGTGGCGTGTGCCTGTAATCCCAGCTATTTGAGAGGCTGAGGCAGGAGAATTGCTTGAACCAGGGAGGCAGAGGTTGCAGTGAGCCAAGATTACACCACTGCACTCCAGCCTGGGCAACAGAGCGAGACTCTATCTCAAAAAAAAAAAAGAAAAAAAAAGAAAAGTTGAGGGGGAGGGAGAGATATATCTTATAACCTGGTCAGTGGCAGACCAATGACTGAACCCCAATCTGATTCCAAATTCGACACCCTCTCCATTACATTAGCTGCCTCCTAAAGCATGGACTACAGAGTCACAGCTCTGTGAGGGTAACTTCCTAAACAGTGAGGACACTTATGTCTGCAGATTTCTTTTGGAAAAGGAGAAAAGAAAGGTAGAATATGACTAAAGGAACAGAGGGTGCACTAGTAGCCTTGGTTTTGTTGTGATCTCTATAAATTTGGGAACACCAAGTCTCCTTTCTAAGCTTTCTCAGTAAGATGCTGATCACAATCCTACCCTCCAATATAACTCCTGGGGCCAATGTAAAAATCATTTCAACCAACGTTTATTAAACCCAAAAGCAATCTAGTCAAGTTATCAAATGCCCTGGGAACAGTTTCCCAGCTCCACCCATTTATTAGTTGTGGGACTCCAGGCAAATTGCTTTTTCTATGAGTAGGTTTTTCTTCATGGGTAAAACGTGAAGATATACAAAGAACTCACCCCATAGGATTGTCGGGAAGATTAAATGGGCCCTTGGCCGGGCGCGGTGGCTCACGCCTGTAATCCCAGCACTTTGAGAGGCCGAGGTGGGCGGATGACCTGAGGTCAGGAGTTCGAGACCAGCCTGACCAACTTGGAAAAACCCCCTCTCTACTAAAAATATAAAATTAGCCGGGCGTGGTGGCGCATGCCTGTAATCCCAGCTACTCGGGAGGCTGAGACAGGAGAATCGCTTGAACCCGGGAGGCAGAGGTTGCAGTGAGCCGAGATCGCATCATTGCACTCCAGCCTGGGCAACAAGAGCGAAAACTCTGTCTCAAAAATAAAAAATGGGCCCTTATGTGTAATGCATTCAGTAGCACCTGACAATTTGTGACCATTCCGTACAATGAGCCATGACTATTATCATCACGTGCTAGATCCTGGGATATACAGATGAAAAGGGCAAGGCATAACGTCTAACGAACGAGCTCACGGTGTCAAAGAGGGGCAGGAAAGGAGCAGCGAATGCAAAAACCGAGAAGCGAATGCAGCTGCGCCTGGAGAAGGCGGCTGAGAAGTGATACTCGAGCAAGGTACAGAAGAACGGGAGCTCCAGAGTGGGGCGGCGGGTGGGACTGGGCTT